ACCATTTACACAATAAACAAGATATATACCACCATTTACACAATAAACAAGATATATACCACCATTTACACAATAAACAAGGTATATACCACCATTTACACAATAAACAAGATATATACCACCATTTACACAATAAACAAGATATATACCACCATTTACACAATAAACAAGGTATATACCACCATTTACACAATAAACAAGGTATATACCACCATTTACACAATAAACAAGGTATATACCACCATTTACACAATAAACAAGGTATACACCACCATTTACACAATAAACAAGGTATATACCACCATTTACACAATAAACAAGGTATATACCACCATTTACACAATAAACAAGGTATATACCACCATTTACACAATAAACAAGGTATATACCACCATTTACACAATAAACAAGGTATATACCACCATTTACACAATAAACAAGATATATACCGCCATTTACACAATAAACAAGGTATATACCACCATTTACACAATAAACAAGGTATATACCACCATTTACACAATAAACAAGGTATATACCACCATTTACACAATACACAAGATATATACCACCATTTACACAATATACAAGGTATATACCACCATTTACACAATAAACAAGGTATATACCACCATTTACACAATAAACAATATATATATCACCATTTACACAATAAACAAGGTATATACCGCCATTTACACAATAAACAATATATATATCACCATTTACACAATAAACAAGATATATACCACCATTTACACAATAAACAAGATATATACCACCATTTACACAATAAACAAGATATATATCACCATTTACACAATAAACAAGGTATATATCACCATTTACACAATAAACAAGGTATATACCACCATTTACACAATAAACAAGGTATATACCACCATTTACACAATACACAAGGTATATACCACCATTTACACAATAAACAAGGTATATACCGCCATTTACACAATAAACAAGGTATATACCACCATTTACACAATAAACAAGGTATATATCACCATTTACACAGTAAACAAGATATATATCACCATTTACATAATAAACAAGATATATACCGCCATTTACACAATAAACAAGGTATATACCACCATTTACACAATAAACAAGGTATATACCACCATTTACACAATAAACAAGATATATACCACCATTTACACAATACACAAGGTATATACCACCATTTACACAATAAACAAGGTATATACCACCATTTACACAATAAACAAGGTATATACCACCATTTACACAATAAACAAGGTATATACCACCATTTACACAATAAACAAGGTATATACCACCATTTACACAATAAACAAGGTATATACCACCATTTACACAATAAACAAGGTATATACCGCCATTTACACAATAAACAAGGTATATAACACCATTTACACAATAAACAAGGTATATACCACCATTTACACAATAAACAAGGTATATACCGCCATTTACACAATAAACAAGGTATATAACACCATTTACACAATAAACAAGGTATATACCGCCATTTACACAATAAACAAGATATATACCACCATTTACACAATAAACAAGGTATATACCACCATTTACACAATAAACAAGATATATACCACCATTTACACAATAAACAAGGTATATACCGCCATTTACACAATAAACAAGGTATATACCGCCATTTACAAAGTAAACAAGGTATATACCACCATTTACACAATAAACAAGGTATATACCACCATTTACACAATAAACAAGGTATATACCACCATTTACACAATAAACAAGGTATATACCACCATTTACACAATAAACAAGGTATATAACACCATTTACACAATAACCAAGATATATACCGCCATTTACACAATAAACAAGGTATATATCACCATTTACACAATAAACAAGGTATATACCACCATTTACACAATAAACAAGGTATAACCCGCCATTTACACAATAAACAATGTATATATCACCATTTACACAATAAACAAGGTATATACCGCCATTTACACAATAAACAATGTATATATCACCATTTACACAATAAACAAGGTATATACCGCCATTTACACAATAAACAAGATATATACCACCATTTACACAATAAACAAGGTATATATCACCATTTACACAATACACAAGATATATACCACCATTTACACAATAAACAAGGTATATACCACCATTTACACAATAAACAAGGTATATACCACCATTTACACAATAAACAAGGTATATACCACCATTTACACAATACACAAGGTATATACCACCATTTACACAATACACAAGGTATATACCGCCATTTACACAATAAACAAGGTATATAACACCATTTACACAATAAGCAAGGTATATACCGCCATTTACACAATAAACAAGATATATACCGCCATTTACACAATAAACAAGGTATATACCGCCATTTACACAATAAACAACAAGGTATATACCACCATTTACACAGTAAACAAGATATATACTACCATTTACACAATAAACAAGATATATACCGCCATTTACACAATAAACAACAAGGTATATATCACCATTTACACAATAAACAAGATATATACCGCCATTTACACAATAAACAAGATATATACCGCCATTTACACTGTAAACAAGATATATACCACCATTTACACAGTAACCAAGATATATACCACCATTTACACAATAAACAAGGTATATACCACCATTTACACAATAAACAAGGTATATACTACCATTTACACAATAAACAAGGTATATACCACCATTTACACAATAAACAAGGTATATACCACCATTTACACAATAAACAAGGTATATGCCACCATTTACACAATAAACAAGGTATATACCACCATTTACACAATAAACAAGGTATATACCACCATTTACACAATAAACAAGGTATATACCACCATTTACACAATAAACAAGATATATACCGCCATTTACACATTAAACAAGGTATATACCACCATTTACACAGTAACCAAGGTATATACCACCATTTACACAATAAACAAGATATATACCGCCATTTACACAATACACAAGATATATACCGCCATTTACACAATACACAAGGTATATACCGCCATTTACACAATAAACAAGGTATATACCACCATTTACACAATAAACAATGTATACACCACCATTTACACAATAAACAAGGTATATACCGCCATTTACACAATAAACAAGATATATACCGCCATTTACACAATAAACAAGATATATATCACCATTTACACAATAAACAAGGTATATACCACCATTTACACAATAAACAAGATATATACCACCATTTACACAATAAACAAGATATATACCACCATTTACACAATAAACAAGATATATATCACCATTTACACAATAACCAAGATATATACCACCATTTACACAATAAACAAGATATATATCACCATTTACACAATAACCAAGATATATATCACCATTTACACAATAAACAAGATATATATCACCATTTACACAATAAACAAGGTATACACCGCCATTTACACAATAACCAAGATATATATCACCATTTACACAATAACCAAGATATATATCACCATTTACACAATAAACAAGATATATATCACCATTTACACAATAAACAAGGTATACACCGCCATTTACACAATAACCAAGATATATATCACCATTTACACAATAAACAAGATATATATCACCATTTACACAATAAACAAGATATATACCACCATTTACACAATAAACAAGATATATATCACCATTTACACAATAACCAAGATATATACCACCATTTACACAATAAACAAGATATATATCACCATTTACACAATAACCAAGATATATACCGATATTTACACGATAAAGAAGGAATATACCGCCATTTACACAATAACCAAGATATATATCACCATTTACACAATAAGCAAGATATATATCACCATTTACACAATAAACAAGATATATATCACCATTTACACAATAAACAAGGTATACACCGCCATTTACACAATAAACAAGGTATATGCCGACATTTACAGAATTAACAAGGAATATGCCGACATTTACAGAATAACCAATGTATACTGTAAATGTATTATATTTAGCGCGTTCTATGTTTGGCGAAAATTGAATTTTGAACAAGTTAGCGTTGATTTGATTTAGTGCGTATCTTAATGTTCTTCTCTATAGATATACGTGCGAGACATTTAGCGTTGTATTTGAATTAGCAAATATTGCTTTCCATCAATAACGCTACAAAAATATACACAGCAAAATGTAATACGTTTAGAGAATGCCACCATTTACACAATGCACAAATATATTAATGTTACAGGGCTAAGTAATTTTTCATTTCTTCCGCCCTCTTTTACACAGTTTAAGAAATATTTGGGCAATGTTTTGGGGATGACACAGTTGTTTTTTTTTCCTTTCTCTTAATTTTAGTTGTTGACACAGTACTTGTCGTATTCTGGGGATGACACAGTTAATTTATCCTATCTCTTATTATACCCCTCTCTTGAAAAGTATACTGTACTCGATATGTACGTCCGTCTGTCTCTTCGTCCGTCCGCCTGTCTGTTACGCTTTGAGGTACCCACATCTTATCGGCAACTCCTCTGATACCACTGAGTGAAATTTGATGAAACTTTAACATAATCCTTATTACATATAGCAATTGTGCACTCTCTATTTTACTTTTTGATCCGACACATACTTTGGGTTTCCCGGCAACAGCAAAACATGGACGTTGCCATTATAACCATATGGGAGGCGGGGGCATCATTTAGTGAGCTCATTGCTCACAGAGCCTATAGTTTTCAGTTGTTGACAGACGACGGGTCGGATTCTTTGGGTGATTAGGTTGATTCATCCTTCCTCTTCTTTTCAGTTGTTTACAGAGTACGGATCAGATTCTGACGTGACTCGGTTAATGGACGAGTTTGGTTGGTACATCATCCCCTCCGCCAACCCTTGCTTTATCCTCTCTCTCTTATTTTCAGTTGTTGACGGAGTACGGGTCAGATTCTGACGTGACTCGGTTAATGGACGAGTTTGATTGGCACATCATCCCCTCCGCCAACCCTGATGGTTACGAGTACAGCCATACTACGGTGTGTATCATTATTAACAAAACCATTAAGACAATTAAAAAAACTAGATTCATAATTAAAAATAAAAACTTGACTATACATGAAAGTCTTTTTAGCATTATTTTCTACAAAAATTGATTAAGTCAATAGTTATGGCTAAGGTTAATGTTTGTTAAAAGTTTTGAAAAAAAAAATTATACTCAGAGGTCAAGATCAACAGGTTAAATGTATTTGTAGCAGAAGAAATGCAATCTCATGTGATGTATGAAAGCGCGTAATAGAAATGCTATCATAATGTTTGTTACAATGGCAATGAATGAGAGACTCTGTTTATAAACACTAATTATATGCACTGTATTTCATGACATTTTCTCACTAATTGTATTTTTCTAGGATCGACTATGGAGAAAGACACGGAGCCGACAGTCTGGTCGGTGTGTAGGAGTTGACCCTAACCGGAACTTTGACATTTCCTTTGGAGGTTTTCTTTTAAATACAAATTGATATTGGATGTAACGTGTCTTTTGATTGGATAAAGATATTATATCTTATAATCTTTATTGCATACGTCACAAAGACTTATGTCAACGTATCAGTCCACGTGACGATACATTTAACAAATACACAATGTGACGTCCACTTTAAGGGGGAAATGTCTTTTTTCACTACAAATGATTGAAAACTAAATTATTATGAAAGAAGTTAATAACTTTCCAAATTTTCCTGATACAACCTAGGTAATTTGTTTTTAAAACTCATGTCTTAAATAACCAAGGATAGGATTAAAGCTAATATCTAGTTAATATCTAGTATAAATCGAAGCAGGATTAAGGTAAGGGATAACCATAAAGCATAAACTGACGTTGAATTAAATTGATGAAAACTTCTTAAGAGATATATTATGTATAGAAATCGCATTAAATACCTTTTAACACAAAATTAATGGTTTAAAATGTACAATTTAAATCAGCAGCATATTTCTTAATTCTTCAGGTGCGGGTACTAGCACCAATCCCTGTAGCGATATTTATCCCGGAACCAGAGCCTTCTCCGAGTCAGAAACTAGCAACATCCGTGACGCCATATTGACAGAGAGAGCCCGGATCAAGCTGTTTCTCTCGTTCCATGCTTACTCCCAGCTCTTATTGACGCCGTACGGATACACCAACACCAAGCCCTCAGATAATGAAGAGATGGTAAGATAATTAAAGTGTAGGCTACCATTAGAAATAACACAACCATAGATATACCTACACCAAGCCTTCACATAATGAAGAGATGGTAAGATAATCAAAGTGTAGGCTACCATTAGAGATGAAACAACAATAGATATACCTACACCAAGCTTTCAGATAATGAGGAGATGGTAAGATAATCAATGTGTAGGCTACCATTAGATATAACACAACCATAGATATACCCACACCAAGCCCTCAGATAATGAAGAGATGGTAAGATAATCAATGTGTAGACTACCATTAGAGAGAATGCAACCATAGATATACCTACACCAAGCCCTCAGATAATGAAGATATAGTAAGATAATCAAAGTGTAGGCTACCATTAGAAATAATACAACCATAGATATACCTACACAAAGCTCTCAGATAATGAAGAGATGGTAAGATAATCAATGTGTAGGCTACCATTAGATATAATACAACCATAGATATACCTACACAAAGCTCTCAGATAATGAGGAGATGGTAAGATAATCAAAGTGTAGGCTACCATTAGAGAGAATGCAACCATAGATATACCTACACCAAGCCCTCAGATAATGAAGATATGGTAAGATAATCAATGTGTAGGCTACCATTAGAAATAACACAACCATAGATATACCCACACCAAGCCCTCAGATAATGAAGAGATGGTAAGATAATCAAAGTGTAGGCTACCATTAGAGAGAATGCAACCATAGATATACCTACACCAAGCCCTCAGATAATGAAGATATAGTAAGATAATCAAAGTGTAGGCTACCATTAGAAATAACACAACCATAGATATACCTACACAAAGCTCTCAGATAATGAGGAGATGGTAAGATAATCAATGTGTAGGCTACCATTAGATATAATACAACCATAGATATACCTACACCAAGCCCTCAGATAATGAAGAGATGGTAAGATAATCAAAGTGTAGGCTACCATTAGAAATAACACAACCATAGATATACCCACACCAAGCCCTCAGATAATGAAGAGATGGTAAGATAATCAAAGTGTAGGCTACCATTAGAAATAACACAACCATAGATATACCTACACCAAGCCCTCAGATAATGAAGAGATGGTAAGATAATTAAAGTGTAGGCTACCATTAGAGATAATACAACCATAGATATACCTACACCAAGCCCTCAGATAATGAAGAGTTGGTAAAATACGTTAACGAGTAGGCAAACATTAGACATGTTAAATATAACATAAAACATAAAACATAGACACATCAACACGTAAGACTCAGATAACAGAAAATGGTACTTCAAGATGGAAAAATGCATCAATGTGTAGGCTACCATTAAAGATAGATATACATGTACAAACATCAAGACCTCAGATAGTGAATAGTATGGAGGGTATACGTAATTGTGTTCGAAAATTCAGACTTGTAAATTTGTAAATCCAATCTTGTAAGTTTGTTAATCAAAACTTGAAATCGTATCAGTTTTATAGTCACAAGTTTGGATTGACAAACTTTCAAGTTTGGATTTACAAACTTACAAGTCTGGATTTTTGACCACGATTACCCTCCATAGAATAGATGGTAAAAAACATTATCGTACTAAAAACTCAACAGAAATTTTGAGCTACAAGAAGAGCTAACATATACATTTAACTGTAACAGGAGCAAAGAGTAATCCAAACCAAGATTGAGTCCTCAAGGCTGGTAAGGTACTTCAATTTCGTAAGAAATAAAAATGTCATGAAAATAACTGCGCCTTACAGAAATAATGTTTATGCTAAGGAAGTCATAATAAATCCATTATTTCAAATCCCTAAAACGTGACTTTCTTCAAATTTCGAAATGATAGATACAGTGTATATAGCCTAAAGAACTTCGACTTGTGACACATTGTAATAGTTCTGTCGACTTTAAAATACATTTCGAAAAACTTCCAATCAATTTTATTCTTGTAGATGCGTGTAGCGGAAGCTGGCATGGCGTCATTGAAAACAATTCATGGAGAGGTGTACACCGCCGGAACGCCACCTGATCTACTGTGTACGAATACAATTACTCTTCCTTTATGTTATTATAATAAATGTAGTTTCATGCATTAAAGTTTCTGTATAAGCATCAATTCAATATGAGCATGGAGCATTTTGCAATGAAGCTGAGATTCATAAAACCCCCATTTCAACTCAGTCTTATTTCTTCAATCATCCATATTTACGGAACTTTTTCTTTCTTCTGTAGACGCTGCATCTGGAGGATCCTATGATTGGGCGAAGTCAGTGGCGGGAATCAAGTATGCGTACACTTACGAGATGAGACCGGCGGAAGCTAGTTTTGGACAATCCGGATTCATCCTGCCCGAGTCAGAAATTATACCGAACGCCGAGGAAGTCTGGGCTTCATTGGTTACCATAGCGACGGAGATTCAGTACTAGAGGAAGTGTTTTGCCGATTTCCCGAGGTTTAATGGATTTTCAAAGATGATGACAAAGAAATACATCACATTCCAATGAGAGGCGATAACTATAGATAAATTGTACAATAAAAGAAACCCCTGAAAGATACTTAATTTGCTTATTATTTACACTGAAGGACATGCATTCATGATAAGCGGTCACTATGCATCTCATAAACATCAGGGGTGGGTTCGGGTGCCACGTAGGGAAAAACACCCCTGTTAATCTAAGTATATAACTGATGTGCTTGTTGAAGGATACTAAGATAAAGAACGGTATTCAAACCCAAAAGTCTATATAAAAATACAAAATAGGCAAAGAGCAAACATGAACCTCCAAAACATCAGAGGTGGGATCAGGTGCCATGGACTAGTAAGCATCCCCTGCTGATTGGTCACAAAATTTGACAGGATCAAAGGACATGATAACATTCAATTTAAATCTGAAATAAGTCTGACGCAAAGCATACATTTCATGTAATGTACAAATATATTTTATAGAGAGAAAAGGGTAGCTTATGCATGTGAAGAAGAGTAAAGAAGTAGAAAACAATATAATCTTGTTGATTATACATTTTTGGCCTCATTTGCCCTTAAAGTTATTTTGGCTAAGTATGAGTTGTGAATAAAACATAGAGTTGTACCATTCCAGAAATATGACCTCATGTTAAGAAACATATAAAGCTTCGGAAAAAAATGTGTCATTTCAGGGATTTTTTTCTTTGAAGGGTAAGTGTCTACGGCATTCGGTGACTTTTTTTTTAAATTTCTTTTGCAACATTTATTGAAATATCTTATTTTTTTTTTTATTTATTGGGCGATGAATTTGGTGTTTGGAAGAGAACTCTGTTGGAAATATATCTGCATTAGCAATGTCTTTTACCAGTAATTTGTAATTTTTAGCCGGGCTTATTGCTCAAAGAGCAATTGCCGGCTTATGTGATCCTGTTCAAGGCAGGATGTTGACCCCATAGTCGCCATTTTAAAGTTACGTGCAAAAATATAGTTCTTACTCTCAACAGCTTTTGAGATAATACAAACGCTAAATAAAGCAACAAAAATAAAACGAAGTTTTATCTATATAAAATAAACATTAGTAGTAATGACTTTGAAAACTTCATAAGTCAAAGAACATAGTTCATTAACGTAAGGATTTTTGATAATCAGTGTTACCGTAGTTCTCTACACATACGGGGTAAAGCAGGAGAGGGAACCAGACTGGCCTGTTTGTTTACATTCAGCTGCGGTACCAGATTAATTCTGATTCTGACAAAATCGGACCGTGGTATTAGGATTGAAAAACTCACTGTCAGTGTCTTATCATTTATACTGATAGTTTTAAAATAATGTTTTCCTCAGAATATAAACGTGATTCGTGTAAGAAATCCATTCTACTCTGTAAATAAGCCCGGCTCTCTGTACTTCTGAGTACTTTAAATGTTCTTTGAGCTTCATTGCTGTTGATTACCCCCTGTTTTATACAGTAATTATCTGGGTCATTTTTTAAAGATTACAGCAGATATCAGTGATAAGTAAATATTTAATAATGCATGTATATCAAAATATATTTTAAAAAAAAACAAACCACATATAATAGAAATCAATTAAAAGCTCAAGCTCAAGCTCTCTCTCTCTCTCTCTCTCTCTCTCTCTCTCTCTCTCTCTCTCTCTCTCTCTCTCTCTCTCTCTCTCTCTCTCTCTCTCTCTCTCTCTCTGTATCGCATATACAATAAAATCCTGATATCATCATATTACCGCAACAAAGGAGATCAGCAAAACTTAATTATAATGGCACATATTCTGAGGGATTTGAGACATTCATTCATGAACAGCAAGGATCCTTTGAAAATAAGTATTACAACAATTTTTTTTATTATATATATTCCTTCTCTGTTTTTCTTCCCTTTTTAGCTCACCTGTGCCGAACGCTCAATTGAGCTTTTCTGTCCGTCCGTCCGTCCGTCTGTCCGTCCGTAAACTTTTCACATTTTCAACTTCTTCTCAAGAACCACTGGGCCAGAAAAGCTGAAACTTATGTGGAAGCATCCTGAGGTAGTGTAGATTCTAAATTGTACAAATCATGACCCCCGGGGGTTGGGCGGGGCCACAATGGGGAATCAAATTTTTATATAGAATTATATAGGAAAAATATTTGAAAATCTTCTGCTCAAGAACCACTGGGCCAGAAAAGCTGAAACTTATGTGGAAGCATCCTGGGGTAGTGTAGATTTTAAATTGTTCAAATCATGACCCCCCGCGGGTAGGTTGGGGCCACAATGGGGAATCAAAGTTTTACATAGAAATATATAGGAACAATCTTTGAAAATCTTCTCAAGAACCACAGGGCCAGAAAAGCTGAAACTTATGTGGAAGCATCCTGGGTTAGTGTAGATTTCAAATTGTCTAAATTATGAGCGGTGGGGTGGGGGGGGGTCACAATATGTAATACAAGGGGGAAATCTAGTAAAGAACAGAATGGTCAAAGCTTCTCAGGTGAGCGATGTGGCCCATGGACCTCTTGTTTCTCACCTATTTGCTTTATTATTTCTCCTTATTTAGATTCCCGTAATTTTTAATTGGCTTGCTCCTTTTTTTCCTTTAATTTTTTTTTTGTCTTTTCCTTTAGTTTTCCCCACTCCCCTTATTTTTTCTTGTCTTTTCCTTTATGTTTTTCCTTCTTCCCTTTCCCCAAATTCAGCAGAAGATTTATTGAGTCAAATGTTTCGTTCAGAACACACGTTTTTTCCTCCTTATTAGCTAAGTCTGAGGAACCCTTATGTTTATTCTTCAACGCAGCCTCGCTTTCATTCTTTGGTGGTTCGGCATTATGTGAGACAGAGCGAGACAATGCGAGATTATCGTCAGAGTTCGAACGTTGAGAGAGTGCCGGTGCTGATGGACTTGTATGAAACAATGGTGTCCTTGGATGTTTTTCACGCAAAGCACAACTGTTTACTTTTCCAGCCTCGTTTTCGTTTCCTCCAAATTTTTTAATCAGTAATTTGACGTTAACGTTATTCTGTGTCTCCATGTCACTGTTACTAATTTCATTTGAAAGTGATTTTGAAATGCAACTTTCACTTTCACTTTTCACCATCTTAACCTGCGGAGACTCCAGTCTCTCTCGTAGTTCATTGACACCTGCTTTGTTTTCTTTTTCTTTTGTGTCTATACTCTTTACGGCTTGCGTTTCCTTTGGTCTATCTTTTGATGGAGAACTAGTTGCTCCATTATTCCGCGCATGCGCTATCGGTGGTGTTTCCTTTTCTTTTTCTCCTCGAGGGACTTCCTGTACCTCCCAGTACGTGTTTTCTTCTATTGTTACGTCATCAGAGGGAACCGATACGAGTGTGGTCCCAAGGCTTTTAGAAACGCTATCACTTTTTATTTCATCATCTTTAACGTCATCATAAGGGTGTTCCGCTCTCTTTGTAAACACGTTCTTAATTCCCTGAACTTTATCAAGGATCAGTGAGACAGGTTTTCGGATTATCTGAGGCGATTTGTTTGTCTTTTTCGCGACTTTTGGACTTGATTCGTTATTGATTAGGATTTCGTCATAGTGACGTTCACTTTTTACCGAATCTTTATGGACAGGTGACAGGGTCAGATTAGATTCGGAATCGTCTATATGCCCTTCTCCTATGACGTCACAATACACTGCGTCAATCTGTGACGTATCGTCGGAGAAAACAGTACCCTCTTGATTCCCCAGTGCCACATCATCATAGTAATTATCCGATGGTTCCCGAGGACGGAACGTCAGAGACTGTCTCTCCTTCTCATCTCCTTGTGTAGGGTTAGCCATCGGAAAGCTTTTGCTTTTTAGGCACCTTAATCCTTGTTTATTTTGAATATCATAATTTACTGGTGTATTATCGTCAATAACATCTATGTATACTGAATCAGATTGACACTTTCTAGAGGCTTTCCGAAAGGATTTCAGGGCGTAATCATAAAGCGTTTCTTCCTCCACGAACTCTTTTATTCGAACTTCGGTCCTGAACAAGCTAAGAACAAAAAGACATTGCGATGATTTCTCTTGCGGGTCAAAGTCCATTTCCGTTTCGAATCCACTAGAATGGAAGGCGCGGATTCTGCCGTTTGGTCCGATCCCCACCCGAACCTCGCCGTAACAGACGTCCTTATCAAATCTATTTATAACCTTCCATCGCGAGGGGGTTGGGGCGCGGGAGTCTGCTTTAAAACTTTCCGGATCACGTGACCGAAGCTGGACCGGCTCTAACTGACTAGCACCAAGAACCATATAGTAAGTGGACGGGTCTTTCTCGCCGTCCTTTAGCGGAAGTACACTGAAGATGACGTATTCGTTAACACGTAACTTCCGCCACAGACAACACGTGACCGCGGGATATTCCACATCAAGTTTGGCGGATCTCCTTTCTTTGTCGAGGAAACTGATATTTCTGCCTGCGTTTTGGTGGAATGATATGTCAGGACTTTCTGTAAACAAAAAAAAATTTTAAAATTTTTTAAAAAATGAGCAATAATTTTACACGTAATGTGTGATTTAATCGAGACAATAAATGTACGAGTTATTCTTGCTATAAAAAATTGATGAGCAGATTTATTTCATATTTTAATTACGTCATGATTAGTAAGACATTTTTTTTTATTATGAAGCAGTTTTTTGATAATAATTTGAGAAGACAAAAATTACATTCTGTGTTTTCTTACAGGTAGGCTTAAAAAAATTGCAGGTAACTCTTTTTTTGAGTCATTTCCTTAAGCCTGGCTTACGGTGAGGTTTCGATAAAAAAATAACTTTTCACATTTTCGTATTTGCTTTGAGTGTCTAATTAAAAAACAAACTATTATATGGAACGCCGTCACTGCCTTATAGCAGAACACAACAACTGCACTGCGTCAACCTTCCATTACATTATGTCAACTCTTTATGACATTTACTCACACAACTATTACATTGTGTCAACCTTCTATTACATTATGTCAACTCTACATGATATTAACTCATTTTAGCATTGTGTGAACTTTCCTTTACATTATGTCAACTCTTTATGACATTTAGTCACACTACTATTGCATTGTGTGAACTTTCCTTTACATAACGTCAACTCCATATGACAGTTACTCACACTACTATTACATTATGTCAACCTTCGGTTTCATTATGTCAACTCTTCATGACATTTACTCCCACTATTATTTTTTTGTTTCAACCTTTCATTACATTATGTCAACTTTTTATGACATTTACTCACACTACTATTGCGTTGTGTCAGCCTTCCATTATATTATGTCAACTCTTTATGACATTAACCCATACTACTACTGCATTGTGTCACCTTCCATTATATTTGTCAATTCTTTATGATATTATCCCACACTACCATTGCATCGTGTAAACCTTCCTTTTCATTATGTCAACACTTTATGACATTTACACATTCTTGCATTTCGTTATGTTTACTGTTCATGACATTTAATCAAACAACAATTACATTGTGTTAACCTATCATTACATTATGTCAATTCTTTATGATAACTCACACTAAGTACATTATGTCGATTCACTCTTACGTTATGCGAACACGGATATCCTCGGCCTTTATATGAGCATAACGTATTTTCCGCGTTCCGCAAGCACTAAATTGGCGGGAGAGAAAAAAAAGAAATCTCAGCGATTTGGGAATGGCATCTTTAAATAAAAATTTTAAGCGACAAAGGATTGACAATCTTGAAACGTGCAAAGCCTGAACACTGCGACTGTGAATTAAAGTCACGTCGAAATTCAATGGCGTTTACTTTAATCTGATAATTAAATAAATCAAATATTATGAGTCGTGCAGCAATTTTTTTTCTTTTTATTTTGAATTGTTTGTTTGTTTGTTTGTTTGTTTGTTTTTTGTTTTTTTTTTTGTTTTGTTTTTTTTTTTCTAAAAGTCTTAACTTCTGATCTTACTAAGAACATTGTAATAAGTTTTTTTTTATCAGTCTTGAACTTTCCTTTTGTTTTAAAGTGAAAACACAAAACACACGTGCACTGGTGGGTTAGGGGGAGGGGGAAATCCCGCCCTACTTAGTGACCAAAATCTACATGTACATAAAATTAATAAATTTATTGGTTTTACTTTGTAGGACATTGCATTAGTTTCACATTAAGTTTAGCTGAATTAAGTTCAAAACTTTTTTTATAAAACTATAAAGCCTGAGAGCTTCTCCGCTTTCCCCCTTGGTCTCCAACCATAAACCGCCCCCTTCAGGCTTGGACATTTTTTTTTGTTCAAGATTCTCATATCCGTTACTGATATATGTCCATGCATGCTTACTAAGGCATATTCAATTGATTTAGATGAGGGATTGGTAGATTTTTGTAATAGAACTCTGGCCCTGGAATGGTTGAAAAAATTACTAATTCCAGTGAGGTATCGTCTTTTTCGAAAGGAGGGGGGTCAGCCAGAAAAAAATGTTCGCCCCCCCCCCAAAAAAAAAAACTTGAGAAGCCAAAAAAAAAAATGGTTCACTCCAAGCCCGAAAATCCTATTAGGGGGTAACTCATGCAGTCCTAATTTTTTTGTCAGATATACTACATTACCCTCAGTGGACTATACTTCAACAAAAAGTGGGGGTGGGGGGCTGTACTTTCAATAACCATTACATTTTCTATTGTAAAGTTATGTCTGGGGAAAGAGGGGGGGCTGATATTTTGTGCCTGTAATTCTTCCTAATCAATCAGGACCCCCCCCCCCCCTCTTACCAGTCATAAAACACGGTCGTCAACATTCATTGTATACCAGATATACAGCTTTGAGATAATGTAAATGTATTTTTACATCAGGTAATGCACTTTTGGAATCAACATGATAAAGAGTTAACGCAATATAAAGAAATTTGAAGATCACATAAGAAAGAGTTGACATAACGTTATTATATATCCGCATCACGGAATTGAGTTTTGACATAATGTGATAAAGTGTTGATACAACATAAAGATATGTTCACATAATGTCATACACTTTTTACACCACGTAATAAAGCACTGACATAAAGGTAAGATGTGTTCACCTCACATCACGATGCTCTCGTAAAATAAAGATAAACCCATACCATGTAATAATGCTTTGATATAATAGAAATATACACTCTCAAAAAGGAATGGGCTTTTGACTTCATGTAATGATAAGTTTAATTATAAAACACAATTCACTTGACGTAATGCAATTTTGACCTCACATATTAAAGAAATGAAATGATGTAAAGAAACATTCATTTCACGTAATAAAGTTTTAACACAATGTAAACATATTATCACTTCACATAATGAATTTTCGACTTCAAGTTATGAAGTGCTGACATAATGAAAGGATGTATTTACTTCATGTAATGCAGCTTTGACATGATGTAAAGATATTTTTACATAATCTCATAAAAAATTGACATAACGTAAAGATATGTTCACATCACATAATGGTAAATTGACATAATAAATGCATAGTTGTATGCTATAAGGCAGTGTTGGCGTTCCATACTATTACTTTATGTATATATTTTTATAATATGAATATGCTTTAAATAGTTTCATTAAAAAAATCATATTTTAATTATTAATATTTATCTATTTGTTTTATTGTAGGTGAAAAAATCTTTGAAAAGTTACACTTTGAGGTTTGAGAAATACATTTATCACCGAGAATGTTCAAATGAATAGACATCCAAACACGTGTCTGGAGATCCTATCATTATACTTATAGTGAGGGGCGAGCCGTCAACATCTTCAATGCTAACTTGTCAGTAAGAGATAACCCCTGTTTATTTAGACGGCTACATCGATCCTTAATACCCGGTATTGATATCTGTGTCACGGAGACCCGTATGTTTACCTTCACGTGATCATAGAGCCCAGTATGTTTACTTACACGTGATCATAGAACCCCGTATGTTTACCTACATGCGGTGACAAGATTATGATATTTACAAAATATCAATAAATCAAAATGCAAATGATCTGTCCATGATCTGTACTATAGTTATCTGCGCCCCTTGTTTGGTGCATGGGGACCCTTATGCGAGGAACCCTTGAAATGTCCCACATGTAAGAAGTGCGTGATATATTTTATTTCAGGTGTGATTTAACTTGCTTCTTTAGATAAAAAAAAACCTGAAGTCGATATCCACATGTTAGATGTATCAAATTGCATTGAATTCATTGATATTAAATTCTGTCAAATTCCATCACTCCTACAATTGTTAAAGGTCGTACGTACTCAAACAAAATCGTGTGTACATTTGATAGATTTATGGGTTCTATTTGTTCCGCCGGCCATAAACACGATAGTCTGTTCCATGTTTGCGTCATTAACGAAATTAAAAAGAGGAATTGAAAAAAATTCATATTTCATTCTGATTTGAAATCAATCGCATGTGTCGATATGACCAAAAAAGGGAACGTATTTGCATTTGTTAAATATCATTTTAACGTAAAAACTATAGGAACTCTAGCGATAACGATGACAGTGAAATTTAATGTTTCAGTGAGAAAAGGTATAGCCACCCATCTACACAACTGGGAAATAAACCGGTAAACTGATTTTTCTGTTTCCAATGCATACATGTGTCCCAGATATATGAACATATTTATTGCAATATAGAATTTTTATTATCAACAGATCTTCGTAAAGTTGATAAAAATCAAGTTTTATGAATCAGAGAAACTAAAGAAAACATTTGAAACGCTTACTAAATTTTATGACAGCAGATCCAAACTTGAGTTCAAAGGTCAGCCAGAATTTCTCGTCTTTGTTGACTTTGACGACGACCTTTTGACCTGAATACGTAATGTCCAGTTTAGTGGCCTTGTCCTCCTCCCTCAGTTTGATTTTTACTAAGCCCTCCCTCTTGTGTACTCGTATGTCCGTCACCAGTTTCGGTTTACAAGCAGATGTGGCGCCCTCTCGGAGATCCTTCAGCGTCCCCGGGTCGGTTTTTATAATACCTATCCCAACATGCCCACTCCCGTCAACCACAACCTCGAGGTTTTCGTCTTTGAACATTTGGCGGGAAGCGAACAGACGCCCAGCGGAATACGTGTGGCGCCATCTGGCTATCTTCCGGTTTTTAGATAACTCGATGTTCTCCCCGCAGACGTCAGAAAATTTAGGGTCTCTGTCTGAAA